CCTTTCACTGCTTAGGTTCCCAGAACTGGTAACTGAGTACCAGTATACTACCAACCCTTGTTTAAGTCCTTAATACAATACTAAGATGGATTTAAACCAAGAACAATGCAAGCAACAAGTTTATACGATATAACAGATATAAACCACATATTGTCACAGTTAAAAGTTGAACTATGAAACAGATAACGTTTTCCTTTTTAAAACATGTAATTTATCCTGGAACTATCGAGTATGCAAAGAACACAAAGCCTAAGGGAGAGAGTAAGGACAAAACTTGCCTTTGAGACCTTTGTTTAAAAATCTCTACGTCTTCTTCTAAGCTTTTCGGCGATTCCTACTGCAAAAGTTCCTCTGTTCCTCCTCTGCCTCCACAGACGTATACTTGGTTTTGTTATTTTTTCCTAAAACCCTAACCAAACATCTCACATATATTTATAGGATTTTACTAAACCCTAGCTTAATGCAAGACCCAACTGTAATCCTAACCGGCCCATCCAACTTATTTAGATTCCTACGACGGCTATAACATGACTTTTTTTTTTAAACACAACCCTAATTAAAACAACAATTAAATGAAAATAATTAACACTTAAATTCAAATAATTAACCATTATATTAAATTAGATTAAATCACCTAAATAGTTAAATTAAATCAATTAAAGCATTTAATCCTAATTAAAATAACTAATTTAACCCACTTAAAGGAAAACTACAATTAAATCTATTAAATAACTAAATGCAATTAAACCACAGTAATGAACAATTAAATTAAAATAAGACATACACATAAAACAAAATAAACTCACATTGAAATATAAACAAATTTTCAATTAAAACAAATCAATTCATAGTTAAATAAATAAAAATATAATGTAAACAATAAAATAAATTCCAAACATATCATTTTAAATTAGGGGTATTACAGATTGTGTTTAGATGTCTCACTTATCAGTGAGTGAAGGCTGAGCACCAGAGACCAGCGGGACTATTACAGCCTTTGCCTGTGCCTGAGTGAAAATGGGAGCATGTGACGATGGATTTTGTTGTGGGGGTTACCGAGGTCGATACATAACCATGATACAGTATGGGTGATAGTGGACCGATTGACTAAATCAGCTCATTTTCTACCCATTCAAGCTACTGATACTGTAAAGGAATTGTGTAAGATCTACCCATAGAGTGCCGGTGTCTATTGTTTCAGATCGTGATCCTCGTTTTTCATATCGGTTTTAGAGTAGTTTTCATGCAACTTTTGTTACTCCTTTGAGTTTGAGTACTGTTTTTCATCCTCAAACCGATGGCCAGTCCGAAATGGTCATTTAGGTGCTAGAGGATATGTTTCGTGCTTGTCTGCTAGATTTTTGAGGCAGTTGGGAGGATCACATTCCACTAGTTAGGTTTGCTTATAATAACAGCTATCAGGCTAGTATCGGTATGGCACCGTATGAGGCACTTTATGGTAGACCTTGTCGTTCACCTGTATGTTGGGCCAAAGTTGGTGATGGTAGTTTTTTGGGGCCAGAGTTGGTACAAGAGACTATAGAGAAGGTTGCCATCATTCGAGATCGACTTCGTACAACTCAAAGTCGACAGAAGAGTTATGCAGATCGACGTTGTCGAGCTTTAGAATTTAGTATGGGAGACTTGGTGTTCTTGAAAGTATTATCAATGAAAGGGGTTACAAGATTTGGTAAGAGGAAAGAGAAGTTAGCTCCTCGATTCATTGGACCTTTTGAGATCACAGAGATGATTGGAGAGGTGGGATATAAATTGGCTTTACCACCCAGACTATCAACTGTTCATAATGTTTTCCATGTCCCTATGTTATGAAAGTGCTTAAGGGATGAGACTCAGGCCATTGACTGCACAGAGGTCCATATACGCCCTAATACAACCTACGTTTAGACATCTATTCACATTGTTGACCGTATGGTGAAACAGTTGGATGGACAGAGATACCTCTAGTGAAGGTACTATGGAATCATCATGATGAAAGAGAGGCTATTTGGGAGTTAGACTCGGAGATGAAGGAAAAGTACCCACAACTTTTTGAATATGGTACGTAAATTTTGAGGACGAAATATCTTTCTAGGAGAATATAATGTAATGTCTTTAAAAAAATAATAATAATAAATAAGATATGTATGTTTTAGGAGCGGTTTATAGTTGTGTTATCCTATTATTTTGAATTTTAAAAGAGTTTTATTTGACTTAAAACTCTAAGGATAATATCTATATTATAGAGTTTGTATTGTATTGGGTGTGGAAACGAAAATAAAAACACCATCTTTCTCAAAACTTACCTTAAACTCTTATCACGTTAATTCCTAGGTACCGATTACTAAAGCATAGTCAACCTTCTGCAGTGGCTGGAAGGAGGGGTGATTAAAGGTCACATACGTGAAGAAGGAGTAGTGTTATTTTAGGCAAGTTAATCTTGCCTTATAATATATATACGAATGACTTGCTTATTAACATTTTAATATTAAATTCTAATTTCTGTGTTCCATTATACATATCATCTTGTTAATATTAAGCACTTGTTGAAGATAGTTTTACATTTTTCGTTTATATATATATATAAGTGATATGCGTATGAATGTGTAATTATCATGTCATTGAAATGGTTACATAGTTATGGCTTGTTAAGTATATTCTGAGCTTTGGTAGATAAATTGATTTTTATATGTTCATGTGTGTGTGTGTGTGTGTATTTTTATATTTATATAAGTATAATGTGGATTTGTTTGTTGATACAAATTAAGATCAGTTTTAGTGGACTAGTAATCTATGTTGGAGTCCAGAATAGCTTGGGTCTTGTGTTGGTCTAAAAATGAAGATTTTAGAAAATATTAACTTTTATATGTGCTTTGGAAAATTCTTGTATATTAATTAGTTGAATAAACGCCTATATAAATCCTATGTTAATATAGTTGAACAATGGAATCGAGATTGGAATAGTGATAAACAGTGGCCGATTGTAAGTTGTTTTTGCTTACAATGATATAATTAATTAATTATATATATATATATATATATATTTGTTATTTTTTTAATGTTAGAGAAATTGGAAAAAAAATTATTATTAATATTTCAAAAATTATGATATTTTTCAGAAAATTAAATTTAAATGTTATGAGCCTAATTGTGAAGACTTGTCAATTTTTTAAATGACGGTTGGGTGGTTTTCCAATTTAAAATCATAAAATTTATAGTTTTGAGTCTCTGGGTATTATGTATATGCGAGTATATATTTAAGTATAGATAGTTGAATATCATTATTAAATTTTGAGATATTTAAAGTATATGTTTAGGTATAATCATTGGTTTCATGGTTACCTATTAAATAATATATCTATACTTAAAGAAAAGACAAAGTAACTTGATCGCTGCTGGGTTTTGATTACAGGTAACTATAAAATTGTATTTATTTATTCATTTTCTATAGCATTGAAATTACATTATTGGTTGTTGAGAATATGATTAGAGATTAAATTAGGAATTGAAGGTACGGTAATGAAATTATTACAAATGTGGCTTTTTACTGACCACATGGAAATAAAAAATGCACGTTAATCTATGGAATAAAATAATTCATTATTCTTTTTCTTATATAGATCAGTACAATGGGTAATTAAAAGAAGTCATTGATTAATAAGAGGGGAAGTCCGGGATTGACCCAATAATGATTTGCTAGGTGTGGTCAAGGACCTGTTTATTTGGGAGTGCATTACCCTTTCATTATAGTCATTGGGTCTAATGAGCCCTTATTGTGTGGACGTGATCAGGGATCATCTGAGAAGTAGACGTACAATTCAGCCACACGTGTGTTTTCGGTAGTCAGGGACTATACGATTCACGCTACTTTATTGGACGGGAGCCCGGGGCTCATATGAGTTATATGGATTTAATAAAAGTAAATGATGGTCGTTGAGTTTATAATTAATTGGAGATATGCAATTTTTTTTAGTAATACACTTAATTGAGTTGCTTTTATATATAAGAATATAAGGTATGACTAGCTTGCTGAACGATGATTGTGTTTAGCATTTTTTGTTGAACTTGTGAGCTCACCCTATTATCACATTTCAGGTGCTCGTAGAGTAGAAACGTGATGGAGACACATGACAAGGATGGATTTTAGCTCATTGCACATTTACTTATTTTTACTTGGTTTTCCTTTCTTATGATCCTTGTAATAAAGTAGGTGTTTTGTGAGACTTTATTAAGTTGATTTAGTGGTTATGAATGTTTTATTATGTTAGAGAAAATTTCACTTCTATTTATTATTTGTATAATTTGTCGGACTCTCATATTTAATAAATTGAATGAATCTCTGAATGATGAGATTCATCGTAGTTTTATTTATAATGGATGTAAATTGAGAATTGGTAAAAATTATACTTTAAATTTTATATGGACAAATAGTTCTGTGACAACTATATTCTTTTATTATATATATATACATATACACACACATATTATATTCCCTACTCTTTCAGCTTCTCTATATCTTTATTCGGTAACTATGTGATTGATAGAAAGTTTACTCATTGTGTCATTCATCTTAAAAAATTATAGCCAAAGATATATACCGGAATTGAATTCAAAGTTATTACGTTATATTAGTGTTATTTTTTGACTCTTTCCTATATTAAAATTTTGATTTCAAAACACACAAAGCAATAAGCAGGCACCTAATTTGATATACTAAATTCGTGAAGTCTAGCATTTTCCTTCATGCTTCATGGTCCCACAAATTATATAGCGTCACTTCTTTAATCAAAATAAGCCGCATCATCAATAAAAATAAAAAAAAATGCCCTATAATTTGCAAACTGAAAAACTCAACCTCTAAAGCCAAAGTTCTAATAATAATAATAATAATAATAATTTTTTATCGATAAGTACCAACAGAATCAGGAATGAATGATCTTGACAAATGCCACCAGAAATGATGAAACATGCAGAGCATGAAAGGGGGTATCAAAATCAGCCCATGGATAAAACACCAACAACTGTGGCTTCTTTTTAATTTAAGATAAGAAAACAATTCAATACACCAACACAAACTGAGGAATATAATTCATGTACTGACAATGACAATGAAAAATGTTATGCTGCACTGACTAACTTCCTATAAAACGATCAATCAAAAGACCCACTAATTTCCCAAAGCAATAGACATTTTTTGATGTTATGCTGCTTTCTATAACAATAGACGAATCCAAATCTTCTGTGAACCCAAGAGACCATAATTTTCTTCACATGCTCACACTGGAAAAAAAAAATGGATATAATATAAGAGAGATCGTAAAAGATTGATCTAAGCCATAAATACAAGATCAATAAATACATACAGGGCGTAGAGAAAAAGTTATGCCATTAAAGCACTGAAAGCAATATAGGAAGGCTAAAAGCAGTTTAGACTACAGCAACAAAAACATTATAGTTAGTATTAAGAAAAAGCCAAATGCTAAAAAAACTAACCCTAAGATGTTGGTATCTATGCTTTTTAATACCAGAGTTTAGCACCTATATGAATTGCCCCTTCCTCAGTGTGTGTGTGTGTGTTTACCAGCATTCAATTCTGGAAACTACATAAAAATAGTTTGACCATCATTCCAGCCACTCAGCCAAATACGGTGGATGATCCTACATTACTTGTCGTAGGGGGGCAGACTCATTGGACTTCACTGGAATTCCATCTCTAAAGGGGACGTCCACATATATTCTATTCTATTTATATGGGTATAGAATGTTCTATATAACTCAATAAGCGTTTACGATCCCAACAAATACACGCATAGACAAGAGAAAATGTTATGCCACTAAAGCACTGTAAGCAATATAGGAAGGCTAAAAGCACTTTACACTACAGCAACAAAAAATTATAGTTAGTATTAAAATAGAAAGCCAAATGCAGCCAAAAATAAAATAAAAATAAAAATAAAAAATAAGCCCTAAGAAACTATATGAATTGCTCCTTCCTCAGTGTGTGTGTGTTAACTAACCCTAAGAAACTATATGAATTGCCCCTTCCTCAGTGTGTGTGTGTGTTAACCAGCATTCAGTTCTGGAAACTACATAAAAATAGTTTGACCATCATTCCAGCCACTCAACCAAATATGGTGGATGATCCTACATTACTTGCCGTAGGGGGTCAGACTCATTGGTCTTCACCGGAACTACGTCTCTAAAAGGAACGTCCACTTATATATTCTATTCTATTTATATGGGTATAGAATGTTCTATATAACTCAATAGGCGTTTTCTCACGTTGGACGATCCCAACTTTTTTCACTTTGCCGTATACTCATAAACTTAAAACATTTAACAGATACCAATGCAAAGAACAATAATCGAGAGTCCCTAATATTACAAATAAAAAGCCGACATATAAACAAAGTATTAAAGTCAGAAAGCCAAATGCCAACAAACCAATCCTATAATGTTGGCATTCAAAGCTTTGTATTTGGCACTGAGTAATCCCAGAGTTTAGCACCCCTTCTTCCTTGTGTGTAAATGCACTCACCAGTATTCTGTTTTGGAAACTACATACAAGTAATTTTGACCATTATATTTACCAAATAACCATGCAAAGAACAATAATTGAGTGACCACATATCCCTAATATTACAAAATAAATAAGGATTCCCGAACGAACAGTACCCTATAAACAAAATCATTTCAAAATTCCAAATAAACTCTCTCATTTCAGCACACCATTACCGTCCACAATTCCATAGCAAAAAAAATTCCACAAATACAAACTCAAACCTTCCGAAATTCTGAATCAGGTTCCATTAGAATGAATATTTCTCATGCATCACAACACAATCAAAACAAAAACATTCATCTATGAATGAAATCACATCTTCCAAAATTTACAAATCCTATTTACTTAAAGAAATAGGATACATGTAATGCAATATAATCAATTCAAAACATCCATCAACAACATGCAGAGAGGAAAAGCATCTCTAACTTAACAAACTATCATATTTAAGTTCCAAAAATCACCATCACAAACCCTACTAGTATAACATAAATCTCCTCACTCAAATAAATTATTCATATCAGCTCAAATTCAAAAATTGGAGATATAAAAAAAACGATAAACCATAAGTTAAGTAAAAATTCCTCAATGCTCCAAAAGTCAAAAACATAGAAGTAAAGAGTGAAAAAATCAGAACAAACTGACTTAAATCAATCCAGAGGGACCTCAACATCGCCATCGGTGATGTCCTGCTGCATATCCTTAGGGTCCTTCCCGTCGACCGTACAACCAACGGAGACGCAAGTGCCGAGGATCTCCTTGATGGTCCCGCTCAAGTCCTTTGCCATCGATCTCGGCTTCATCACCTTCGCGATCTCGATCACGTCGTCAAGGGATATGTTGCCAGTGTGCTTGATGTTTTTGGTCTTCTTGCGGTCTCGCTCGGGCTCCTTGAGGGCCTTGATGACCAGAGCGGCGGCGGAGGGGACGACGGAGACCTTCGCCTGACGGTTCTGGACGGTCAGCTTGACAGTGACTCGGAGTCCCTTCCAGTCCTTCGCGGTCTCTTTCGCGATATCTTCACCGATCTTCTTTGGGGAGAGTCCGAGGGGACCGATTTTGGGAGCGAGTGAACTTGCAGCGCCGACTTCGCCGCCGGTGACCCGGACAAAGACGTCGACGACCTGGGATGGGTCGAACTTCGGGGGCATTTTCCGGCGCTGCGATGAGAGTCTGCAGAGGGTGTGAGAGAGCAAAGTGAAGCGAGCGGCGACAGCGAAGACTGCGAAAACCAGCTGTTTAGGGTTTTTATCTATAAACTAGGGTTTTGCTGATGAAGTGAAATGACTTTTTTGTCCTCTTATTTTGCACGTGCAAAAATTCTTTTTAGTCGAATTTTTGTTGACAATGAAAAAGAAAAACGGAGTATGACTCAAATCTAAGATTGTATACCTTTTAGTGGACGTCTGATCCCCTGTTTATAATAAATTTACAGTTAATTGAATCCTTTTAGGATTAGTATTGTTTGTTCTTTAAAAAATCTCAATTGCATGATACTTTTCTTTTACTTAAATAATAAATTTTTTTAATAAAAACTGTTACTAAAAATAAATTTAGTAATATATTCATAATTCAGCCCACTGTACTTGCTTAATTTGGCCAAATATTCATATTGAAATCCAAGTTATAGATCGAATAATCTTTATATATATGGTGGTCCCTCTCAGACTGATGTGTCATTATTTTATTTGTGTTTGCGCTGTTTGTAGGTTCTTGTCCAGTTGGCCTTTATGATCCGTTTGTGTTTTGGGCTGGACTTTTGTGGCCTACGAATGTCAGTTACGGACTCAACAGTTATTAAGAGAGGGCTTGCAACATTTTTTTACAGTGGAAAACGGAATCATCGCATTGGTGGTGTTAAGGCATCAAGTGTAAAGCCCAATAAAACATTATGCAAATTCGGTCCAGTAATTTTAAATACATTAGTGCAAGATCCATGGTTTAGGTAGTGTTTGGTTATTCAGTCCAGTAATTTTATTAAATAATAAACATGTATTCAATTTGTTTATTTTTTTATTTTCCCAAATCATGCATTCGATTAAGTACATTTAATAATAAAAATGAATATCACTTAAAATATTAAGTGTAGTTGAAATGATATGGACTTTTTTTTTTTTTTTTTCTTCGATTGACTGAGTAGGAATTTCATTAGGGAGTTGATATTCGCCTGTTATAAATCTCACTCCGATTCTTTCTTTTAGAAAACAACAAAATAACTAAAGTAGCCTCTTATGTAGCGATTTACCCTTTAAATTTTTAATAATTCAAGTAACTTAAAAAGCCCGTTAAACCCAAATGGCATGGCACTGAGTTGCAATGAATTTTTTAGGTTTTACACTTGTCCCATGTTGAGTTAGTACCTTTGAATATGGTGTTGGTGATTAAGGACGGACCCAAAAAATTGGGGACAGCCTTTAACAGCAACAAGATAACTATTGAGTGGGGGCAATATTGGGATTTTTTTGTAATTTTTGTAGGGAAAGTATTAAAATTTTGTAACTAGAATCCAAAAAAAAAAAAAAAAAGTGAGTATATAATACTGAAAAAATAAAATTTCAGTGGGACTGATTCCTTGAATACGCCCCCATGCATGTTGGTGACTCACCAAATCTATCCAAACTCGAGTCGTCCCTTCACTGCTCCTACTTCCAAAATAGTCGAGGTTAGGTGTATGTTTGAGTAATGCTAAAATAGAAAAATAATGATAAATTCTAACAATATACCAATTAGTTTGAATTTTTATTCAACAAATATTTGTGTATATTGGTAGGGGTGAAAAAATAATAAAAATATACCAATTAAATAAAATTTGATTTGACTTAAAAATCAAGTGTATGATAAAGGTGCTCTAAGCCTCATTCTTCCACTGCTATAGTCACATTGTCCAAACACAATATAGATAGCTTTGTTTTCAATAATCATAAATTAGTTTTTAGCTTAGGAGATATAGCTTGCATAACTTCAATCACATAGAACGGGAGCGGAAACGCGAGAGCGGCATATTCCAAAAAATCTTATAGGAGGAGCGCCGCTAGAGCGCCGCATTATAAATATATAAAATATTAATTTATAATAATAAATATATGTTTTAAATAAATTTTATACAAATAAAAAGATAGAATAGTGAATCAAATATGAGTCCATTACAACCAATACAAACTGCTTTTTAAAAATGCATAAATTATTCCTATTTCCTTCAATTCAAAGAGCCCTAAATGTAATAGCAGAGAGAATATGAAATAATAGAATGAGAATAAGACTATAAGGGTGAATCAAGAGTCAATTACTAATGAAAGAAATTCAAGAATCACAAACCCAAAACTTAATAGAGATAGAAAATTGAGAAATCAGAGATTTAGAAATTTACAATCAGAATATGAAAAGTTATTCATTCATTTATTTCTTTACTAATAAATATTGTCCAATGAAGGTAAGTTATGTAAGTATTATTAAATATTAAGTATATTGTTATATTATTTGATTTTTAGACAGAGTTTACTTATATAAATTAAATTGATTACTTTTTGATATAATTAACTTTATTTAGTCTATTTAAGTTGGGGGTAAAATCGAAATTTCTCAAGATTCACACTAAATTCGTGAATTTAATGTCAAAATCGTCAAATTCTTGAACAAAATACGTGATTTTACCCTACACAATTCGTCGAATTGAACTTTAAAAACCGTAAGAATTCGCGAATTCAAAAACATGAGAGCGTGAATTTTTGGGGAATTCGCTCTCAAAACGCCAATTCGCTCGCGGAGCGATGGAGCGCCAGTGGTTTGAGCGAATTATGTGACTTAGTGCATAACCATATTGTGGGAATGAAAAACATTTTTTGAAAAGTTGCCAATTATATAAATATAACCATGTCGTCACTTTCTACACTAATTTAGTCACGGACGTGAAGGTGTTGTACACTAAATTACATAGAGTGAGTGCGATTGCGAGTACGAGCAAGAGCGAGAGTGCGAAAGTGATAAAATTTAAAATTTGATCAAAGCGAGAGCCTTTACGGAATGTTTAAACACTTTTATATTGTTATGTGTGTAAAATATTTTCAATATTTGTACATATAATAAAAGATCATTATCTAATTTATAAAAAATAAAAATATAATTTTATAAGAACTACAAAAATTGTTTGAGCTATAAGCAAGCTAATTTTTTCTGTGTTAGGAGGTACATAATATTAGTAATAATTAAAATACAAAAATTATCGCATATTTTTTATTTTTAAATAAAAAAGACATATTGTTTAAATTTTATGAAATGAATACTTATAAGAATTATAAAATACTAAATGTCTTAAATAATAATAAATTAAAAATAAAAAGTATTTGTATAATTTGTTTGCAAACATATGTGTCTATATATTGTACATACATATTTAATATTTTTACGCTTAAATAATAAAATATAAGTGAACAACAAACAGCTTGCAATTCTATTTTCGTATTGTAGGTTTATTATTAGTTTTGCACATTTCTAATTAGGTACATTTTAGTAATTGTCATTAATAATAAATATTACATATAATTGTCCATAATTGAATAAATGAAAAATTGTTGTGAATTCAAGCGTGAAAGATTCGCTCTCAAAAAAGAATTATGTGACTTAAATTGTACACATTGGTTGCATGCTATTAACAAATATTTAGACATTGATTAATAGCATATCATATAACATTATAATCTTTTTTTTTATTGCTAAACTGACAATGTTGGTCTTAAATTACAATTTCTTTGATAATAAAATAAACATCTTCATAATTTGAACAAAAGATATATCTTCATAATTTGAACAAAAGATATAATTTTTCTATTTTTTTTTTTTAATTCATTCACTTTACTCATCCATTATCCATTATTCATTATTCATTCTCATCACGTACTTATTTGTGTTTCATCTTTTTATATTCATGTTACATTTACATTATTATTTTTTTTTTTCTCTTTTTCTTTGATGATATGTTTCTTAGTTTATGTGAAAACTAATGAAATAGATTTTGGAAATTATCATTCTGGTAATTTTTCAAAACCCACCATTTACGAGTTAGAAAGGGAAGGCAAACTAACTGAAGGAAAGCATACTTCTATTACTCCCAACATAACACATACTATACTCTTCAATCTTTGAACTTAAAGCTTACAAATGATATTTATAGACATTACATTTACTCTCTACAATTCTCCACCACATAAATATATTAGATATGTACAATTCTTCATAATTCCTTAGTCTTCCAAAAACTTATACATTCTACAAATCTATACAAGATCTCCAATATTGTAGAATATATGATCTGTTTGCAACAATTTATATTTGTCCACACATATGTGGTAAACTTTAGAACTCAACTTTGATAAATTATTATATGATCTTAGGATAATGACAAGTAAGCAAAAACTGAAATAAAAGTGACTTAAAGTTTACGCATTTGCTTACTTGTCAATCGATGATTGATCGTAGACCATATAATAATTTTTCCTTAACTTTACTCTGGTATCATACAGAGCAGCGAAATTTTCCGTGAGGATTCGCTTCCACGGCATGACCTCTTTACCAATACCACGGCTCCCATCAACATTGAATGGTAACATATGGAAATCAAGATAAATATTAAATCTGCAATACATGCAAAAGTAAAAATTAATAAATCGAAAGGTAATTTGACTAACAAATTTATCATTCTTACATAGTATCAGTCAGACACTTGAAGCGAAATTATCATTTTTTTACTGGCCTATCTTGTGATGTCATAATAATGTATCTCAAATTGCAAACAGAAAAAAGTTGCCATGATCATAAATTGTACTGTTACGGAGAGCCCGTTTGGAATTGTTGTTAGAATGTCGAAAGCACTTTTAATAGTAGAACTGTCATAAAATTGTTGTCAGTAAAATACAATTATGTGTTTGATGACATATTGTATAAAACACTTTTTTTATACTTGAAGCACTTTTAAATTTGTTTGTTAATAATCTTGCATAAACTACTTTTATTACTAATTTTATTATATTACCCCTACACCAATACATGTGTTAATTTCCTAATATTAAATATTATAAAATTTCAATGGGTTCAATAATTTATGTATATCAACTTGTATTGGTTTTTTTTTTTTTTTCTTTCAAATATCACATATTTAAGTACTAAAATATAAATAAGTTAAACATAATTTAATGATTATTAATTTGTATTTGATCTAAAATATTATAGTAATACAATAAA